GATGATTTATGTGAATTACTACATTAAGGTAATGGAGTGATGACGAGGTTAAACTCATTTGAAAATGGATTCTCTGTGTGGATTCTCTGTGAGGGAAATTAGCCAATGACTCACTGCAACATAGGAGCATAATTCTGGACCCTTTACTTCCTACAGTGACGGGAAGACGCTAGATGGGTATTTTGGAAGAATGAGATCAAATGGACTGAAGAGTCTTCTTCATTTGAACTGCTCTTTTGCTGTCATGATTTCCTGATTCCAGATTCACCCGAGGTTTATAGTTATGCAGAATAATTTATTTAACTGGATCAATTTCTGTGACTGTCACAACCCGTAGCTAGTGATTGCTCGACGGCAACACGGTCAAATATTGCACACAGATTAGTAGAGTAAAAAAACATTAGAAAACACACCAATTTTGTTTACACTGTGTAACTTTCATGCCAGGAGATTGTCTCAAAGCTTTAAATAGCTGACAGGGCACGTCAGCTGGAGGAGGGAAAGGTGACCAAAAGTGTGGTCAAAAAGATAGAAACTTATACTTTTATAAATGACTGAATAATTTCCCAATGTCTACATGCCCATATATAGTCTAAGGATGATTAATTTAAAAGAAGTCTTTGTTAAGTCCTGTGTAATATCTAGCTTGGTTATTTTAGCCCACTAAAGCGTCTTAAATGCTTTGGACTCAGTCTCAAGTGATTTGTTTTAATTAATAGGGACACTCAGTCTGGCTCATACTTGTTTCTAATACCTATAAGGATCTTTACATGAATATACATTTCCACCAGAAAACAGCAGCAGCAATGGGAATGCACAAAAATTAGGTATTTTCCTTTAATCATGTGGTAGCTGATAGGACAGCTCTCACTTCAAACTCTATCCTTGTTAGAATTTGCTGTGTCATTCACAATAGCTTAATTAAAATGACAATAGGGTAATATTAATCCTTGCATTTGATACAGCGCTTTTCACATCTTCGAGACGTCTCAAAGAGCTTCACAGAATATACTGTAAAGGGAATTGACTGTATATTTTGTGGGCAAAACGCAGCAGCCAAATTGTGCACAGCAGCGTCCCCACAAACAGTCGAGGATTGATTGACCAAATTATTATTTTTTTTAAAAAAAGGATTATTATCCAGAAAAGCAATCTTCCAATTGACCAAGGTTCCTACTTACTGCTAAAGGTAAACAGAGGCGTGTGGAGTAAGGAATTTTGCCCAACGTTTTGCCTTGCCAAGAATCGAGCCCGGGTCCTCTCACTTGCGAGGCGAGTGCTCTAACCACTGAGATACAGGACTCCACATACTACAAATACAAAGTCCTTTATGCTTTTCAATTTCACAATAATTGTCTTAGAACTTCATATGCATTAACCTAGCAGTTTCATTCTGTGCTGGCTATGTTACATTAGCCTCCCACAGTCCTCCGGTAATTTAAGAACCGCTATTATGGTCGTTTTTTTTCCTCTCTTCTTCTATTCAGACTGTATTATATATCGCGAATGATAACAGGTTGTTGAGAACAAGTACAAAAGATTGTAATTTAGTTTCAGGGATCCAGTGAAGTTCACAAGCTACTTAGTTTTTGTACTCTTGGCAGCGATCACAACTCCTTGAATAAATTACGGTCCCATCCTAACTGCCACCGTCCAAGAACGTTATGTAATAAATCTTGCATTTTTACATGTTGTCAAATCGTCTCAAAGCACCACAGCATTTATTGTAAAGTGGAGTGACTGTGTACTTGTAGGCAAATGTGGCAGACAATTTGCACACAGCAATGTACCCACAAACAGTCGCGAAGTGAAGAACCAATTTTATCCGGGAGATTATTGTCTGAGACGTCAGGAAAAACTCCAACCTCTTTGTGAACAATGCCATGGAATTTTCAACATCCACCTGAACATGGTTTGGTTTAACATATCATCTGAAGGATGGCACCTCCAACACTGCACCTCTTCCCCGGCAATGCATTGGGCTGTCTATCTGCAATATATGTTTAAAGTCCAGGTGAAAGGTTCAAACCCCCAAACTCCTGACTCAGAGGTGAGAACTACCGACTGAGCCAAGTTGGTGTATATATATATATATTACAATCTAATGATTAAAACACTGGATACCTGCTGGCAGGTATGTAACCTTTCAGACCTTTTAATGAGACTATTACTCTTTGGGTTGCTTTTAGTCACAGAGCTTACAACCGATTTTTCCTGCTACTTCATGTATCCTGATGAACTAAATTGATTAGATTCTTTCCCCTTCACAATCTATGCCAAACACTTGCAGCATTCATTTTGTGACTGATGTGGTGGTCGTTAATCTGTAAAGACTTAACAATATATATAACAAATATATTCAAAGACCAATGAACCAATGCAATGGGATGAAACATCACTTTCACCTTTTTTTTCACCCCACACTGTCAGGTCTGGCGTCCTCCAGGGCTCTGTCCTTGGCCCTCTCCTCTTTAATATCTACATGCTCCCCCTCGGTGACATCATCCGCAGACATGGGGTCAACGTCCACATGTATGCGGATGACACCCAACTCTATCTTTCCACCTTCACCCTCAACTCCAGGACCACTCCTATCCGGACAGACTGTCTGTCGGACATCAAGTCCTGGATGAGGGCAAATTTCCTACAGTTGAATGTGAACAAGACTGAGGCCCTCCTGGTTGGCTCACGCCAGCGCCTCAGCACCTCAGGCTCTGGCAACATCAACCTCCATGGTTACACACTACAACTCACCAACTCTGCAGCCAGTCAGGAACCAAGGTGCCTTGTTCGACCCCCAACTGTCTTTTCTCCCCCACATTCAAGCCATGACCTGCTCTGCCTTCCCTCACCTCCGTAACATCACCCGACTCTGCCACTACCTCAATCCTCAGGCCGCTGAAACTCTTGTTCATGCCTTCATCACCCCCAGGCTCAACTATGCAAACGCACTACTTGTTGGCCTTCTCAACTCCTCTCTCCATAGGCTTCAGATAATCCAGAACTCTGCAGCCCGTGTCCTCTCCCGCACCAAACTCCGTGACCCCCATCTCCCCCACTCTCACCCGACTCCACTGTCTCCCTATCCTTCAGAGGATCCAGTTCAAGATCCTGGTCTTCACCTACAAAGCCCTCCATGGCCTCGCCCCACCCTACCTCTGCGACCTCCTAACCCCCTACCAACCCGCCTGCTCCCTCCGCTCAGCCGGCTCTGGCTGCTCCACGTCCCCTGACCCACCCGCCCCACCATTGGCGGGAGTGCCTTCAGCCACTCTGCCCCCAACCACTGGAACTCCATCCCTCAGTCTCGCCCCCTCCTTAGCCTCCTTCAAGTTCCACCTCAAGACCCTCCTCTTCGACCATGCCATCGGCCACCCCCTTCCCCTCTCCTACCCCCCCTGACCCCAGCTCGAGTCTGAAATGTTGTACTCTGTCCAGCGCCTTGGGACGTCCTCCCGATGTGAAAGGCGCTATACAAATGTAATCTTGTTGTTGTTGTATGCGTTACCCCATCACACCAGTTCTCGCCAGGCTCAAGATCTTCACACTCATTTTCAAATCCCTGCACCTCCCTACCTCTCCATCCCACTCACCCCCTCCAACTCACAACCAGCTATCTTCGCTCGACTGGCTCCGTCCTTCAGCATGTCCCTCGTGCCCTCCGCTCCACCATCGGTGGCCGAGCTTTCAGCCACTACTCCCCAAAATTCTGGAACACTCTTCCTCTATCCCACCTTGCTTGCTCCTTCCTTCCCCATCTTCAGGTCGCGCCTGAAGACCTTCCTATTCGACCGTTGCCTACGGTCACCTCCCCCTCGGCATCCTGCTCCGCCACTGTCAAGGGTGTGGGACCCTCCCTATCCTGCGTGAGGGGGCGCTGGGTAAACACAAGTTGTTGTTCTAACACAAGGCTGAATGTACGGGCATTAGTATCCCAAATATAAGAGGTCCATCCTCAATCTGGTTGGTTCAGACCCAAGGGCCCAAATCCCATAATTTGCTCATTATTTGGCACTAAATAAACAAATAGGCACAGGAAAGCCACGACAATGATCGGTGTAAGACATTAACCATTCACATGATGAGCTTATTACAGCACAGCATTGAAGCTGAGAACGATCAATACTGACGCGGTTTGTAAAAAAGGAAAAACAAAGGTGAAAAACTTGATAATTATGTCGCTCTGTAAAGTCAGATAATCTCACAAGATATTTTCTAAGTAATAGTCATGTTGCATAGAGATCCTAAAACGTACTTAGGAGGGATGGGGAAGTTTAGGCTTAGTTTCAGGGGGTAGAGTTTTCTAATGATAAATTGTTGGAACATTCACTTCAACAATGAGTCAATGCAAAACATTCACGTACCTGAAATCTCATTGAGCAGCTGTGTGGACCCTAGAAAATCACGACCGCAACGTGCATTGTTCCTTCAACACAAAGGTAAGCATGAATAGACACTCTGCAACTCGGTGGCTGTACATACAGTTGATTTAACAAAGCACTACCATGTAAGAATTATTTGCTAACGTTTTTTAAGCAGTCCGCAAGGGCTGAAAGCTGGGAATGAGACTTATAAAGGGAATGAGCAAAATATGCTGAAAAGGAGAAAAAAAAGTGACATGAATAAAGAACAGGTAATTTACACAGCCTTAACATTACAGCAACGTAATGACTTTGTTTGCATCAGCCCAATTCTGCTGAATGTTTTAATGTTTATTTCTGTAGAGAGTGTCATAACTTACAAAGATCGCTGGATTAACAAAATTGAGACTATAACATAATAATCCTTGCATTTGATATAGCGCTTTATCGCGTCTTCGAAACGTCTCAAAGCGCTTCACAGAATCTACTGTAAAGTGAATTGAGTTTATATTTTGTGGGTGAAACGCGGCAGCCAATTGCGCACAGCAGCGTTCCCCACAAGCAGTCGTGGATTGAGGGACCAAATTATTATTTATTTTTGAGCTTGATGCACTTAAATAATTTCAAATGTCACCTTTATAAAGAAGCAGTTTGAAGACTTTATTGAAACATCTCATGCGTGTTCTTTAAAAAAAAAAGTACACTTTTCTCCTGACATGCAATCTAATGGCTCTGTGGGCTACATCTATTGCTTTAGGCATCAAAATCCCAACTCTGAAACGTAATAAATAGAAAGTTTTCAACAAGTTCGGGAACCAGTCACACTGTTTAAAAATCCACTTGCGAAGTCGGAAATCGAAGGCTTCACACAAGAAGTTTCAAGTTGCATCACGAAAAATGTTCCCCGGGTTCAAAAATCGCAGAGAGAGAGAGAAAAAAAATCTTTGTAGATCTTGTGCATCAAAGTCTATTTTCACATTTTAATCTCAGTCGCAGTGCATGATGCTGGGACTGTCCAGTACAGTAACGTTGCTCACTATTGCAGTCTTGGAACAGTGTAGAGCAACATGCTTCTAAAAACACACACATCAGGTAAATACATAAATAGCGGAAGCTCCGAAAATTGTCAAACATGAAATAAAATACAACATTCAAATATCACTTCCTGCAGGACGACCCTTGATCTTAAACTGTACACGTGTCCAAATCGTAAGTCAAAATATCAGTACATAAAATAGACCACCCCCTTATTTTGAATTATTTTTAGTACTTTTGTTTCTTTTTTGAAGGCAAGTTCTAGTGTTCGGTTAAAGGACAGCATCAAGAGAAACGCATGCAGTTAGTAAACAACAGTATTTTCAAGTTAGAGACCAGTTAGTTATTGGCACATGCAGATAACACTGGAACTACTTGAGTAGATTCCATCCGCAAAATTGCTCATGTCAATTTTACTTAAAACACAGAAATCCCTCAATTTAGCACTCTGGAGTAGTTTGATAGCATCTTAATTTATATTTAGAGCAAGTCACCTTAGACTCCCAATTCTAAGCATTGGCATCTACGCAGTTTAATGCAAAATGCCAAATTCCAAAAGGTGACTGAACACGTGATGCAGGAATATCTGGAGAATAACTATTTTTGATGACATGACAGAGTGAAGATATCATTTTTGAGAGAGACTTTGAAGTTGTCGCTCACCAAGGAAGTTACGCATGGCGAACAAATTAGTGATGTTTCATAATGTATTCAACGTAGACATCGAATGCATTACGAATCACTCCAAAATTCACCCCAGGAAAAGCAGAATTAAAAGGTAACGTGAGGTGCTGGACAGAGTGAGAGTGAGCGATCAGATAGTGAATGAACACGTGTAGTGAACGGGAAGGGAGAGATTAATTGTGAATCACTGAATTGGAGGTGCAAAGTATTGATATTGGATCAAGCATTTCGCAATATAAGGTAGAGATAGTAATAAGCAGAATATGTGAAATTACAAGGATAACCAATCACTTTAAAAGGGTTAGGGACTCAGCAACATTCACTTAAGCAATTTAAAATTGCACAAATTGCATTTATTTTACACAGACAGCGGAGATTTTTTCGTGTGTGTGTGGGTGGGGGGGGTGGATATTTGATAGTCAGTTACTATCAGAAAAATACACACATCTGGGTTCCAGTAACATGTGTAAGGGTTGCCCCATCAGTGATATGATACAATAGTTTTCCCTCACTTGCACTTAGTTTAGGAGCAACTAAAATCAAAAGGAACAACAAGGTCCAATAATACTGAAAGAATTAAGAGCACAATTCAGTTGCTAAGTAATGGATAGTCAAAAATATTAAGAGCTGGATGGTTTTGCACTTGTATTCCAGTTGTGTTCAGGAATTGGGCTTGTGGAGGGAGGCGTTGGAGATACTAGAGAAGAGGGATTTGCTGTGTTCAGTATCTGTGTAGTAGATGGAGTATTTTTTTCACCCTTTGTAAATTGGGTCTAAAATGTAAAACCATCAAAACCATATTGTGACTCTGGTTTGCGACATTACCGAACGCAACATTTTACTTGCGGTCCTTTTGTTTGGAATTTCATCGAGTTGGGATTTGCGATTTGTTAGTTTCGATTAACCCCACAAATCTAATTTGCAAGTACCTCAAATTAGAGCCCACTGTTACTAATCATAAAGGCCCGTGAACCATTTGCGTCCTCGATCTTCATTTTTGCTCCAGCTTTGTTGACAGTTTCATCTAGTTTTCCCTTTCGCAATTGCATCCGTGTCATTTTTGAAGGACTAGAAACACAAACTCTCCGCTCTGGGCTCCTCAGAATGTACACAGCATTCAAAGACATTTTGTACTCTTCAGGGTCAAAAGCATACTATAATCGGAACGGGCTTCACAAAGACTTTGCGAACATTAATTCCCAGGGTAACCCGAATGTGCATCATCCTAACCCAAGGGAACTATGCTAACAATTTTCTCCTTAGCCTTGAGTGGTGTACTGGCTGTTCAGCCTCATAGGTTTCAATATTTACAAATCCTTCGACTCCTGCGACACTCAACGTCACTTTGGATTTACAATTACTGAAGCTGTAACAATTCTCTCAATCTCGACACACTCGTCCACTTCACAAAAGCTAATACTGAAACGTCGGATCAAAAGCAGTAAAACATTTTACTCCTGTCCGATTGCCCCACTCACCGTGTTTCTCCAGTAGGCATGAAATCGGCTTGATATTCAGTCATACGCATTATTCGAAAGAAAATCAACAAGTGTGGATCTCAATTAAATTTGTTCCTCCACCATATACCCCCCACCCGCCCCAACCTCTTTTACTCTCTTACTAGCCTACAGTTCAACAAGAAGCAGCAGCAGCAGCAATCTTCCAGTTTACCACACCCAAGTGCCCAGACAATTGGACCTGTGAGGACAGCATAGGCAAAAGCATGTTTGCCTCTCACGCAATATCTATACATTTGCTATTTGCAGCGAGGATCACTGAACAGCGATCAGGAGCAAAAATGCTGACCGACTTTCTAAGCCCCTATCCCTATCCCATACACAAGCCATCTCAGTTCAGATCAACCAACGCAGACCAAGGATCGCACTTGACATCTTCTTATTGCTCAGTGCCACGCATTTTACCCATTGAATCATCAGCCAAGTGATATTCTGAATCGTGATATTCACCACCTTCATCTAAACCCAAATTGTAGTAAAATGACTTGAAGTACATCTTCACACTACACAAGACATCGGTAGTGTTTTCACTTCCATTGGCTAATTCCAATAGGTAAAGGTAAACCTTCTCCCAAAGCAATGCCCTGTCGCTTATAAGCTTGTCATTACAATTACTCACAATCTTATTTACAGACTCCCCCGTATGAACCACCGTTCCAGTGTTGAGAAAGTGACCTATTCTGATAATCAGTCAAATAGCAAATTTGTCAATCCAGCAAAGGTGGTCACATCAACAACGTCCCTGGGAAACTTGCAAACCTACAGTGGGACTAATCACAGTGCTACAACTAGGGAAACATAATTTGTGCACACCAGATATATTTTAAATAAGCGCATCATCGATCTCTCTGGGGTTTTTTTTTTTGACCTTCTGGTTCCGCAGTCCGAACAAAATTCTGTAAAAATTTTCGTAAACAGTACGACGATCCATTAAAACACACGATTCGAGGGTAAAGTGCGAGGGAGAGCACCATTTGAAGAGAGTGAAAAAAGTAAAAGCTTTCGCTCCATGGCTTCTTTAGATGCGGATTTGGTATCCAACGTCATTCAGCATGCTGAGTTCTCGTGGTTTACGCTCTGTTATTGCAGGTCTGTAATGAACAATAAGTTAATTGGTGGAGATTTTGACCAGACTTTACAATATGAAAATGCATTCCTACTCTTCCCCCTCAACACCCCCCACAAAAACATTTTTCCTCTTCTGCAAATGGGGCTCACTCCCTCCCCCTCCCCCTTCAGTGGTTCCACAAGCGCTGGGGAACATATTCCCCACAAGCCCCCACACCCCCTCCTACACCCCTCGCCTGTACACCGCTATTCCCTTTTCTCTCTCTTGAACGTATGCATCAGTTACATGATGCATTATTCATCAGTAAACCTTGACGGGGAGTGTCAGCAGGTTAAATATAGGTACTGTGGGTGGAAGGAGAGAGGCATCACAGTCAAGCCTGAGATTATCCTCACTAGACATTTACCTTCCAGCAGGAGGTCTCTGGAGAGATGATCAGGAGCTGGATCCCTGGTGGATTTCTCTACCCGGAGATGCTGAGATCGTTTGATGTGCCCCCAACATCAGCCACCAGCACAGATTTGGTTTTAAATCTACAACCTTTTGATCTGTGAGGCCTGTGTTACTCCAGGAAATACCTTTAAGCACTAGGTCAACAGAGGTACCTCATCAGATACTTAACCAGCTATACTCATCAACCCATTACACAGAGCAGAGCCCTGCAGGAGATACCGAAGAAACATATCCAGTTATAGCATTTAGTTTGGGTGTGCAGTGGGACAAAGCTTGGGGTTCAAACATTTGGGAGATTGCTGAAAAACTGTACTGATGGAAAGGAATCAATAGGCTAGGGAATTTAGCAGTGTTTTTCATGTAAAAATCAATACATCAGAAGACTGAAATTGCATTCGGTCTTAAAATGTAATAGTCGCACAGAACTGTAGAAAATTCTTCAGTTGAATTTTAATTGGAACTCAGTTCTTTTACATGACCGGTGGGAAAGATTTAATTAAATATTAAGTTTTAAGTTTTAAAGGATGAGTTAAAATTGTAAATGAAATGGTCTTACAAGCTCAGACGAGGTGAAATTACAGGCCTCATAAAGGGAAAGTGGAAGTTTCGAAAATACTCAACATGGACCATCTTCACATCTCAATGATTATTGCACCAACAGAAGTACAGTAGATCCGTTTTCACTCGCTCCGATTCACAAGTGAAACAATTTTGAAACCTGACATGGTTTTCCTGAAATGATCCAAGTCACCTCTAGCAACAGAGTTCTGTAAATGATGTAATGAAGGTTCCTAGTCAAAATGTTAACCTAGCTTTCTCTTTCAGACGCTCTAGATTTCTCCAACATTTCTCTGTTTTTATTGCAGATTTCCACCATCCACAGTCTTTCTTTCTCTCTCCTGAACTGCTCTGGCGCATACAAATACTAAGGGAAAGAAAAGAGTTTATATAAACAATGCCTCCTGACTTAAGTAAAGAATCCCAAGGCATTTTCTCTTTTATTTTTACATCTGAAAGGCAGCCAAGTATAACACATTCATCTTTACTCAATCAATAGGTCATCTGGGGTTACTTGACATTGATAATGAAATCTACAGCCTAGTCAGCAAATATTCTATTGATGGCCGCTAGGAATTTGTACTCCGCGTGACAGCAATTGCTACGGGCTTTTTAATGCTTAAGGAGCAGTAAATGAGACCTGCTCCATTAGTGTATTAGTTAACTTCACTCAATAAGGCACCGTAATTTCATACATTTAAGGAAAGTCTATAAATAGCCTGGAATCAGGCGCTGCTTGTTTTATTCCACGTATCCATCTGTCTGACCCTCGCACTAAACTGCACGCGTCCTATTCGATGGCACAAACGAGTTAGGGACAACCTGAGACAAATGCTGACTTAAGAAAAAAAGAAATAAAGAATGTGGAATCTAACTAACAAGTCCCTGAACTTTTTTCATAACTTATAATAGTAATGGAATTCAAGATAGTTTTGTGATGGATCGGTTATTTGATTGCCTCAGGGAGTTTAAACTCTCCAAGCTATAATGGGTTGTTGTGAGGCATTATTTGTACACTACTTCTGCTTACCTTCTTTGCTGTAATAAACCCTTTGCACGGATGGAAATCTACATGGAGAATGTGTTTCTGCAATTCCCATGTCTAACACCTCCGCTCCTCCCCCACTCCTGATTCATATTTCACAAGATCATCAAAATCCCATGAAGGACACCATCACATTGCATTTCCCCTGAAGGGTTTCTCTGTGAATCCTGTTTTTTTTTTCTACGATATGATCCATGGTCTACATAAGGGAACAATGATAAAATCCCTGGCTCTCTTCGACACACACACACACACCTATGATATGATTTTCTGTACGATCCACAGTCTACATAAGGGAACAATGACAGAACCCCTCCCCACCACCACACACACACACAGACTCAGACACACACACACACACAAACACAGATACTCAGACACACACATACGGATCAGGTGCTTCTGTTTTTTTAAATGTAGGGATTATTTTAACAACAGGAATTCTGGAAAAGCTCACAGCAACTCAATCTGCATTGAAAAGGAAGAAGACATCTTTAGGTATTAACTAATCGCATTTTTCTTTCTGAGCTGATCAATTTGCTTCTGGTTTTATTTCAGGTTTTCAGCGTACCTTTTTGTTTTATTTATATCGCTACTGAAACAGATTATTAAAGTGGCAGAAAAGCTAAGGTGCTGACCTCATACCTACATTGCCAAATTTTGTCACCGACAGAATTGGAAAAAAAAAGCACAAGATTGAACTGAAACGTTAACCGTGACTGAACCGAATAAAATAGTTTTCGCTATTGTATTCTGAATGAGTAATGATCCTCAGTATAACAGCATGAACTGTTCCCTGCAAGGGGAAATGCTTCCTGGTGTCTGAGCTAGAGTTACTCCACGAACCCATGCCCTTGTGTCCTGCTACCTTGGCCTATCCGAAAGCACTTTCTTCTCTATCCTGTTCAGTATCTTTCTTATACAATGTTCCTTCGGAGACATCTCTTTTCAGGGCTGAGCCCTAGATTATCATCTAGTCATTCCTCAGAGCTGGTCTCTCTTATCAATGGGTATCAATCAAGTCTGTTCTGCCTTTTGTCACCGAGAGCAGGCATGGCAGGCAACCTACGTTAGTAACAAATGGTGTACATGAGGAGTAGCTGGTAACTAGCCGGGTTTACAGCCGTAGAATCATAGGCAGTCAGCAAAAAAAAAACACACACAGTACATTTGTCTCTTTATTCCTCAGGAATTCCCAATATGGGAAACAATTCAACTTCTGAAGGACAATAGCAGAAAGCACGCATGAATCCAAGTGGGAATTACTCAGGTCAGATGTGCTTTTCCACCTCAATCACTTACTTTAAATTCTGTTCTATTAACTGGTGAAAGCCCTTTTATTATCTTTGTATTCTTTCAGTTACATAGTGGGAGGCGGGAGAGAAGATGGCAGCGTCTGTCATCATTTAACGATTGAGCCATCAAAAGTAGTAGCAAATGCAAGGTGAATATTCCGTGACTCCCTGATCATTTGAAATCTCAATTTAAATTTGCTTTTGGACTACAATTCCAGAATCCTTGCAGAAAGCAGAGACAACGATGACTTAAGGCTCAACAACCGAAGCCGGGCTGATTGAGTGGGAGGACAAACGGCCGGCCAGAGTTAGCAGAGCAGAGGGAGTGGTTGGAGGGTAGGAGAAGGGTTGCAGCAAATCATGGAACTAGGCTGAGTCAAAACCACGGAGGCATTTGAAGGCAAGGACAAGTGTGATGAGGAGCCAGTGGAAGCAGGCAAGGATGGGGGTGATGATGGGCTCGTGGAGCCTAATGTGGGAAGTTTAGCTGCAGAGTTCTGGATGATCTGGAGATTGACAATAGGAATGACTGAGTCGGATGGGAAGAACGGGGAGGTTGAGGCTGCTAATATACAAGTCAGATGAAATGGGACTCTAGGAATTTCGGTTAGTTTTAATCCGATGCACTGAAAGAAACGTGGCAAGGGCTGACAATTTAGTTTGATTCTTTTTTTGATCCTCAGAGCATCATCTGTTGCTGCTGTTATTTGATCTCTTTCACACATTAAGAGTGAAATGACAAGTTCTGAGAAAAAAAACCATAAACATTGCCAGTGTGAGGTCTAAATGTCAGTAAAGTACAGCTCTGGAATTCAGCAGAGGGGTAAAGAAGAGGCAGATGTATAGTTTACTCCAGAGTGCAACACCTGTGTTTTTTGTATGACACACTGTGCAGAAGCCCCTGACTATGCTTAAGAGTATCCAAACCAGGCAGAGTCCCACATGTGTACGCCACCTACACATAGAAATGTCCCTGTGTCTGGAATGGAAATGCACGTACTCTCATGGGGGGGTCCCACACTGCTTACCTCATTCCAGAAAATATTAGGCACAGGTTGGCAAGGCTTGGGGACTCCAGAGTGACCTCATTAAATTCATGTCTTTTTATAGCCAGAACACAATTTATTCTATTTCCCTACTGTTTAGTCCCTCTTGAAGCTCAGTCGGCACCAGGGCAAGGAATCATTAATGAACGTCAATCAAGCTCGTGCCTCCACAGTCACCTTAGGCCCGTTCCTTTAGAGGGGCTGAAAAAAGATAATTATACACAGCAGCAGCCACATCAGTCCATCCTGTTTGTTACTTTGGCCTTATTGTGTGGATAGGTTGAGTAATGACAACTGGATTTTAATGTGCGGAAAATAAATGCATTTGGGAAAAGAAACTGGTAAATTTAAGCGCTTGCCACAAAAGGGTGTTCACGAGTAACAAATGGTTTCTAAAAAGTGTTCCAGCAATGAGGTGTCCCCAACGGAAACAATATTTTCTCCAAACACAGCCCTGCGTTTCGGTTAAAAAAAAAAATCAGTAAAACACTGGTTGAAGGTCCCTACTTGTGAAAAACAAGTCAATTTCCAGGTGAACCTCCACTGTAGCTTCCAAATGTCATTTAGATCTGGACTCACCCCACCCACGTTCAAGCCCTGACATAGCTAAACATCTGAGGGTCGCTAGACTTTGGGCATTTGTCCCAAAGGCTCAGTCAGCACTTCCCTGAACTTGCCTACGATAGTTTCAACTCCAGTGCCTGACAGACGGGAGAGGAAGGGCTGTCAGAACACATTTGCAGTGAAGATTAACGTGTTCACTCTGCATATCCTCGGAGCACTAAGAGGGAACTGCGGTGGTGATAACTATATTTTTTTTATATAATAAATCTTTTCCGTCAGTCGCAAATGTCACATTAAATCTACTCAGTACGAGAATTTTGCTCTAAACTGTCTGCTCCGAAGGCAACACAATATTTTCGTGCTTGAAATCTATGGAGATGCAGTAAGCAAAACGGGTTAGCGATGGTACATAATAGACTAATAAATACTGTACAATGACAGTTGTCCTCTCAGTTAGCCAGAGATATACGCATCTCTTTGACTTTTAAAATGCAGCCGCACTGTCAATGGAGAAAACATTCAGTCTTCCTCCTGGGCTATTTTGTTCAATACTTTATGATAATAATAATCCTTGCTTTTGATATAGCGCCTTATCACATTTTCTAGACTTCTCAAAGTGCTTCACAGAGCTGGATGTTTTGTGAGTGAAACACGACAGCCAATTGCGCACAGCAGTGTCCCACACGAACAGTGGTGGATTAAGTGACCAAATTATTATTTATGAATTAAATTTTTTTTAAGAAAAGGAATTATTACCCCCAGTAAAGCGATCCGCCAATCGACTAACAGCCGGGTTCCTACTTACTGGTAGCTGAACAGAGGCGTGTGAAGTAAGGAAACTTGCCCATTAACAATCCTACCAGGAATTTCTTTTGGGCGTTGGGGGTGGGGGGGAGGTGTCAGCTGAGAGTCTCACATGCAGATCATTACCATCATTATCCCAGAGTATCTAAATCAGACATATGTACATGTATGTGGAATGCGCACACAGTGGAAACCACACAGCTTGCCATTGGGAGCACTGCCTGGCAACCTTCCTGCGGATTTTTTCAGGTCCTACTACCATTTGGGGCTTGTAGGGTTAATGGGATTTTTATTCTAAAAAAATGAATTTCATCGAGTTTTATCTTCCCCCCCCCCACCCCCAACGTATTCTCACTTTTAAACATTCTCTGCTTCTCTCACTCTGGCTTACTTATCACCTTCCCTCTTCTGCAGCATTTCATCCTTTGTTTTCTTTGTTTAATTCTTCACTTTGCATTGAATCCTTAGCTGATTGTCCAGCCTTGCTCCTCATTTCCTTGTACAAAGCTGTTACACTAGACTCTCCCCCTCTCTCCTGTCTTTTATTGTATTCATTTTGAACAAGGGAAAGGCATTTATTTTTAGAGAGCTTTCTCACTTTTTGTTTTTAAGCTTTCTCTGGGTTGGTGGGAGGCAGAGGCTGATTTGTGGCAGGTTTAAACCATCCCTTGTATCTGGCCTCTAGATCGGTTTGCGGCTCTTGGTATAGCCTATCCGAACTGAACTCCAATCAATCTTTGGCAACTGGTCTCTCTCAAACAATCGCTCCCCTTTCCAGCCACTGACAAGTTCTTCCTCTCTTCTCTTAAGTACATACAATCCTGCTATCATCTCTAAACGTCTGTTGAGACGGTGGCAGATCACAGAAGAAGGTCGATAGAGGATCGTGGAAGGTGGACATGGTAACCTTAGAGAGAACAGGACGGCATTGTTTTAGTGTGAAATCTGATGGGATTTCCTTTTAATAGAATTGTTTCTTCATAGAAAACACCTCATTACAAGAATTCACCAGCATTTGACCATCCCCACAGCAAGCACCGGAGGGTCAGGGAGGGAGGGAGCGAGGGGGGAGGATCACTAGGACACAACACCATTGTAAGATTTTTGGAGGCCGATGAGAATCAGTTGACCTTCTACGCTCCATCCGAGCCCTACTCACAGACTCAATGATGCCCAATACCATCAGAGATGGACACTGTGAGATGATTTAGTGATGAAATGATGAAAAGGAGAATGATTTAGTGATGTGCTCAGAGCAGCAAACCTTAGCACCATCCTTAAACTTCTACACGCAAAGGGCACAGTTCCCAATAACAGCACCGACAACTCTTAATATGCTTCTTGAAGATACACAAGAGACAGGAAGTAGGTTGTGCCCTATAGACCAGCACTAGGCACACCTACAGAACAAAACATTACCTATAAAACAGAACTAGCCAATGTCTACAGAACGTCAGAGCCACAGAAAATAACTGTGTGTGCCTGTAGAACAGAAATCGGCAATTCTGTAGAAAATTAAACTGAGCACCATATGGAATAGAACTGGGCATACCTTGATGCAAGCCTATGGAACAGAATAATGCATACTTATAGTACCAACTGTCCTTTCCCATGTACCATAATTAGGCTTGCTAATAGAACTCTTCCTAACCTAAGAAACAAAACCAGCTGACATTGCACCTGAGGGCAAGTACAACACCTCAGGTATTCCTCCGCAAATAAGGCGACTTTTAAAATAGTGACTTTTTGAAAATAGTTGACCAATATCCCATACTTGTAGTTCTTTGCACAACAACCATCCTCCACAGAGCTACTCGCCTCAAGTCAACTGCGCAGATATTACGTACCTAGAGGAACCATCATAAGAACATAAGAAATGTGAAGCGAAAAAACAGACCACGGTCCATCTAGTTCGCCTTCCACCTTCCTGGCAGTATGTACTTTACCCCATAATGTTATTTCCTAAAAGAAAACTATCTAATGAGTCCCAATGTGAAGGTAATCACACATGAACCTTTTGAAGGGACACCTGGTGACAAAAAGCCTCCGACAGCCTTTTCATCTCTTTGAAGCAGATTTGTTGGTCGCTCTCTCTTCCCAGACATTGCCTGTCACACTCCAACTGTCTGGGGCACTCAGGTACGTTTGCACTGAGAAGGAAAGCGTTGTTCACCAGACATTGTGATGAGCTGCTATCAGTATTTCCTGAGCACCGAGCAACATTGAGGTTATAGCAGGCATCTGTTTAACAAGCAAACCTAGCGATTGTGACGGGATTGAGTTATCCAGCATTTATTTCTGTGCCGAACTCAGCTATAAATGCACAGGTTCTCAGATAGTCAGAGGCGTAACAACAGCTGCAGTCGGTAGAGAGAAAGACAAGAGAAGGGGTTGGGGAAGACATGAGAAAAACAAAATTCCGCCACACGCAGCAGTGACTGTAAAATGCATTTCAACTGCGTGAATCTCACGAATTAGTGGCATTCAGAATCTCTTTAACCTTCCAAAACCTTTTAAAATCAAACCCCTCATTTTGTAACCATGCACATAAAATACCTTGAAAGTGCCAGTTAATTGCTCAATTAGGCTCGTTTCCGCGAGAGCCCATTCTAACGAGAAGCCGGCAACTTACGATTTATCTCTTCGGTTCAATCTTCTCTGAGGGCTCAACTGGCCTCGTCGAGGTGACAGGGATTTCCCCCTCTGACGCTCTTTAACCGGAGAGTGGGCACTTGAGGTTTTTAGAATCTGGTATGAAGAGAAGCAACAATAACAATGATTAATAGATTGGCCGCTGTCTCTGAATATTAATAGTCCTGCATTAACAGTTGCTAAAGGATCAGCGCATAGGTAGATTAGTAAGCAAGCTACAATAAATACTCTCGATTCAGGAGGAGTGTGGGGACAAACATTAAGCAGTCCTTTGTAACAGCTCTCAGAATTCAAGGAGTAGAAACATGCTCCTCAATTTACATAATTCTTCAATTCAGCTTTAAATTTGAAGCAAATTTACAAAGAAAACCCACTGAAAATTAAGAGATTTTTCAAAAAAAATCTACACGTTCTAAAATGCTAAGAAGTCTACATTTAGAGCCAGGTGGAATTTCTCCCCCACCCCCACCACCTCCACCCACGGCTTTTAATATGCACGTTCTTATATTTGTAATGCGTCAAAGAGCAGGACAACTTGACTGTATAAATTAATGCAAAGTACATTTCTGAGAACATTGCTGGAGGCAGCTCTGGGAACTGGGTGGATTAGAAAGGCAGTTTCCATCTGGACAGATTCACACTTAATGCAAATGAGATCCTATTGAAACAAAATGGTCTTCAGTTGCTTGAAACGCCATAAGTGGCAGAGAGACTGACATATATCCTCTAAAATCAGCAGTAGCGATGAAAGGACCCGGATTCAAACACAGAGCTCCAGGAAATGCATTCGCTGGAAGTTCTTCAGGAAAGGTTCACAGAAGGAAACAATTAAAAAAGGTATTTTTAATCCAGATTGTATAAAATGCCACATCAGTACAACAGAAGCTTGTTGGCGAGTAAAACATTTCCTAACCACAGCTGGATTAGGGAAATATTGCCTAACCACATATACGGATAAACACAAAAGCTGCGGAACCTACAGAGCAAATGGTTATTCAGACATGTATGCCCACTATTTTGGAATCCAGTGGTGGATTCAACGAGTCCAAGTGAATCTCCAAATGAAAGGTTAACACAGTAACGATATTCTGTCCTCGCTTGTCCACGACCATGACACTGTTTGTAAATGTGACAGGATGTGTTCTATGTAGGCTTTGAAGGCCTCGTGTTATGGTAGTGGTTAGCACGCTCACCTCGCAAGCGAGAGTACCCGAGTTCGATTCACAGGCAGGGCGAAACCTTAGGCAATTTCCTTTATTCCACACGCCTCTGTTTACCTAGCAATAAGTAGGAACCCGGTGGTTAGTCGATTGGCGGATCGCTTTCTGGGAGTAATAATCCCCCTCCACCCAAAAATAATTTGATCACTCAACCCGCGAATGTTTGTGGGACACTGCCGTTCGAAATTGACTGCAGCCTTTCACCCACAAATTACACAGTCAATCCCTTTACAATATAATCTGTGAAGCACTTTGAGCCGTCTCAATGATGTAATAAGAAGCTATATCAAGTGCAAGGATTCTTAATAATATATTTGGTCCTATATGGCTGTTTGTGGGGCTTTGCTTTGTACAAATGGGATACCGAATCTACCTAAAAATACAGTGACTCTATTTTACAGTAAATCTGTTGATTTAAGTGCTTTTGAGAACTCCTCTAATCATGAAAGGTGTCCTATCAAATTTGAGGATGATTATTACATCAATAATGTTCAATTGAGATATAACGATTGGGTAATTAAAGCATGACTGAATTTAGCAATAAAATACCAACAATGTAAAGTCCTACTATTCTGATAAAGAATTTCAAATTCAAGTAGTGCCATAAGTATTTCATTTAAAGAACAGAGCTGATATTAAAAGATAATACAGACTTTTTCTGATGAGGAATGATACATTCAAACATCTATAAAAAGATTAAAAAATTAAAATGTTCTCATAGAAAATAAAAAGATTCATTTTTATATTATATCCAAATCCATTAACTCTTAAATCAAAGACTTATTGTCTCTGGGTACAATCTGGCTGCCAGAAATTATTTGTTCTCATGGGCGCTTTCTAGTTTGATGTGTATGAGTATTAAAGTGTTTACAGTGTTAAAGTGAACTTCTAACCAATCTTGAGCCAACATTTTTTTTCTACAGTGTGGGTCAAACCTCCAAAATACAAAGTCTGAAAACTAAAGCTTTTCTGGAGTTTTCAGTGTCTTTACTGTACTTATTTGGAGATATTCCGATCACTAATTGAAATGGTCACACATTAACCGCAACAGTTGCTCGTATACACTCACACACATACACACACACAATACATAAACTCACACTGGTTTGATTATAGGAGAGGCACTAAATGAATTACAAAATGCAGTTCCTTTACCTTCATTCTCATCTCTCGAGAATGTTTTTCCAGCTCCTTCCTCTGCTCTTCCCTGGTTGTCCTGCTTGTGGTAAGAACCAAATGCTTCCATTCAATCTGCTGAAAACTGTGCGAGTCATGTGTGACATACTGACCAATCTTCACCTTCTTCAAACTGTGGAAGTAATTGTTGTAACACTCCTCAAATTCAAAAATCAGGTCGCTCAGAGTTCGAAAGACCAAGGGCTTGTCCATCAAGGCTTCTCTCCTGCTCATCCCTAGTGTGCCATAGCGACCATTGAAACACACACCGAGGACCACGTGGTGAAAGTAGTTCCCTGAGAACTGGGTTTTAAAGCTGATAGGGAAGCGTTCTGTACCGATGAGTCCATTAGTAAGGTAGCTGAGGTATTAAGTTATGGATTGAAAACGGTAACATATCTTAAATGCATTCTTAGGATGAGTATCACTCAAGCCATTTGTACGGAGATGGATGTGTTCGTCGAATCGTAGCCTCATAGAACATTATAGCACAGAAGGAGGCCATTCAGCCCATCGTGCTTGTGCCAGCTCTTTGGAAGAGCCGCCTAATCAGTCCCCCCCCACTCTTTCCCCATAACCTTGCCAAGTGTTAATTTCATTCCTCATCACAACCACTGAACTGGCAATAACATGCGATTAACCACATTGCAAAGCATTTCAAGGGTCGGGTTAACACAAAGCCCTTCACCCGGGTAGCGTCTCGGAACACTTACCTGAGTTGTAGGCAAGTATCAAATAGACATACGTAATTAACTAGCCAACTATCCTCCGGATCAAATTGCTCAGGCACTTCACAGCTGTTTGTGGCACAGTGCTCAGTGCAGATTTGGCTGCCGCGTTTGCGTACAAAACTGCAGTCATTACACTTCAAACTATAAACCTTGTGAAGCTCTTTGAGATGTATCGTTGATGAAGTGCTATATCAAATTGCAAGGATGAGGATTATAAATTGTAATGGAGACAAATATAAATAATTATCCAGGAGATGCACTGGGGGGTGATTTGATTTGAGCCTCGAATTCCAGCTTCATAATAACCACATTTTTATTTGTTCTTGGTTTATGTTAATATTTAGACAAAATGCTCATACTTAAGCTGCAATACATTGGCACGATACCATTATCCCCTAAAGACCTTTTTAACCGAAGCACCACAATTCAAAGGAATTCCACATTTAACAAATAATTACAGTTTAATAAACTCTCAATCATCCTTCGAGATTTCATGGGTTATTCAGAACAATGACCGTTCTTCTGCATGAGCTTATCTCTTCCTATTCCCCTCCTCTCCACCCACTGCTTAAAATAAGGGACAATAGGATGAAAATGGATTATTCTGTACATAATAAAAGGGTAGATTAAGCATTAAACCTTCTCTGCCCCAAGTATCTTTGCTACACTGATGACAGTGATTATTATGGATGGGATCTCCCAATGCGTTTCAGATTTCTCACCCCGTTTCTTGCCTGTACATGAACAATTCCTGACAAGTCATTGCAACTCAAGTGGTTTATTTGAGAAATGGCATTGGAAATTGGCAAACGGACAGAGTTCTCAATGTCAGCCTAAACCTGGCAAATTCAAGCCCCATCTGCTAATATACCGCCAAAAGCACCTACGGCCCTTCTTAAAGATTAGTGGTACCATTACTGACCTTAGGGTAATTACATGCTATTACTACATACAAGGTCAAACGCAGCTATTCTTCAACGGTCTCCTCAGAAGCTCAATTCATTGAACAGTTTAGTGGATACTAGTTGTGGTCCTCTTTATAATGACATCACCCTTTTGGAGGCCAGATAGGTCAAGATTGATTCAAAGGATAAATCTGCACTGTTATCCGGCTGAACATACATACGTAGCATGTCATTGCCTTAAGATCAGTAATGGTACCACTAATCTTTGAGAAGGACCTAAGGTGCTTTGGGTAGTATATTAGCAGACGGCGGGGGGTGGGTTGTATTTTCTGTGTTTAGATGGATGCTAAGGACCCTCTCCATTTGAACACACTATTGTCTGGCTGAACGCACACGTAATGATTGGGATCAAAGGCATAAATTGATTCTAGGTCAGCCCAGTGTTGCACAAAGGGTCAGAAGTGGACTCTAGATGCATTGGAACAAGGGCCTGGCAAACAAGTCCCACCATTTTGTTACGGTAATTTAATAAACTCTAAATAATTCAATGTCCCTGCTTTTCTCTAGATTCGCCAGGAGTTTCTTCCAATGTCCTGTCCCCAGATAAAACTAGTTTTTCCACTTATTTCATGGTTGTTTGTGAGTCATTCCTGTGTGCAAATTGGGTGCCACATTCACATCGCAGCCTGACACGGAACACATCACAGCCTGAAACGCCACACACCACGGCCTGATACGCCACACACCACAGCCTGACACGCCACAGCCTGACACGCCACACACCACGGCCTGACCCGCCACACACCACAGCCTGACACGCCACAGCCTGACACGCCACACACCACGGCCTGACCCGCCACACAGCACGGCCTGACCCGCCACAGCCTGACACGCCACACACCACGGCCTGACCCGCCACACAGCACGGCCTGACCCGCCACAGCCTGACACGCCACACACCACGGCCTGACCCGCCACACAGCACGGCCTGACCCGCCACAGCCTGACACGCCACACACCACGGCCTGACCCGCCACACAGCACGGCCTGACACGCCACACAGCACGGCCTCACATACAAATGCACAGTTCCTCCACCTTACCGTAAAGCTTTGGGACATCTCGACAACGAGACCAGGCGCACATGCGAGGATTATTTATTAAAAAGAAAGCACAAAGCGTTATTATTTGCTAACTTCACAAACATATCAGTCGATCTCCTTTTCGAACATCCCATCAACTCTGCCTTCTGAGTGGGTTTAAAACCTCAATTAATACCAAGACGAAAGGAAATCAGAAGTAGAAAGGAACAGGAGTCGAGCCAGAGCTCGCAGCAGCAGCAGGTGCGGGATTAGGCACACGTCGACAAAGACAAGATGGACAACCTTGTCCTCTCAGCTGGGGATGGCATGTGTTGTGAACCACCACAATCAGATCCCAGCCAAGAAGTCACAATGTGCGCACCAGCCGCCCTTCCCAATTGTAAATACAATCGGAATTAATATGGATGTATTTAAATGGCTTCGGCCAAACCCTGAAAACTGAATCCTAAAATTTGCATCACACCCTTTGGTGTCTCACAGACTCTCATCGTACATAAACAGCACCCCCCCTCCCACACACAGCACCCCGGCCCCCTCGTGCACAGCACCCCCCGGCCCTCGCGCACAGCACAATCTTTTAACGTAGAACGATCTTAGAGTTTAAAGCGGGTGGAGTTTTTCGCCCGCTGTCTGCTGCCTTGATCTGATCATCACTTACCATGCAGCTGGAATAATAATAATAATTCTTGCATTTGATATAGCGCTTTTCACGTCGGGAGGACGTCCCAAAACGCTTCACAGAACACACTGTAAAGTGAATTGACTGTATATTTGTGGGCGAACGCGGCAGCCAATTGCACACAGCAATGTCCCACAAACAGTCGTAGATTGAAAATGACCAATTTATTATTGTTTTGGGTTTTGGAGGGATTATTATTAGGCTCTGTGTGTGGAGTAAGGAAACTTGCCCAAGGTTTCGCCCTCTGCCTGGAATTGAACTCAGGTCTCTCGCTTGGAAAGCGAGTGCTCTAACCACTGAACTATAGGACTCCACAAATTCAAAAATGCTAGGAACAGACTTCTTTCCAACCAACCTCAAAGGTTTTAATGAGTCACACGCTCATCAGTGAATTGCACATTGTGTGCTGATCACAAAGGGAGCTTTGTAGCTCACTCTCTTCCCATTCCACTCTTCCTGCCCCATCATCTCTGCTGTGTGTGATGTCCCGGGGTAGCTGGCAGGACAGAAAAATGTTTGTTTCTCGAAAACTTGTGGCAGTCTCGTGTCGAGATGATCTAAACTTGCTCGGTGTCTCTGCCGCACAACTACAATCGGGTTAGCCCATATTCATACTAAATATCTGCAGCCCGAAGAGATAAGGACATTGGAAAAGCTCACAAGATGCTCAGATGAAGAAGGCCCTTCGGCCCATCTTTGCAGAAGACCAGCCGTACTGTCCTTCCATCTCAGCATCAAACTGAGCCCAGTGACCTGGCCTCAACCACCTTTCCTTGGCAACCTGTTTCATTCATCAGTTACCCTCTGGGTAAAGACAAATGTCCTAGTGTCTGTCCTGAAATTGCCCCGAGTCAGTGCATCCTCACATATTGTTCTGGGTTTTCCCGGTTCAATTCCACTCAAAATGTTACACACCTCTATGACATCCCCTCCTGAGACGTCTTCTCTCTTAAGAGTGAAGTACCCTTACTATCCCGAGAGAAGCAACACCCCTGCCTTTCACTCACCACCGCGAAAAAAAAATGCTATCGTCATGTAAAGGTGGACACTCCAAAAAGAATCTTACAACATCCAGAAATAAACCTCTCAGCACACAAGTCTGTCCTGCAGATTACTCCACGCCCTGAAGCACAAGTTCACCCCGTAGGTTTGTTCAGGGCTTTTAGAGCTGCCCTTTCTGATACTTCAGCCTCTCCACAAAACGTCTAATGTGGTAATAAGATGTACTAAAGGCCACGATCGATTGCTGTAAAGTCTCTCCTTCCTTTTAAATAAATATAGAACTTTGTCTCAGCATTTTATTAAAAAACCAGATTGAATTAATGATATGCAGTGTTTAAAGATGGCGATGTGTCAGGGGTTAATGCACAGGGCAGCGAGTGAAATCATTAGCTTTTCACTTATGGGACCTGCTCAAATCTAGTCCTCGCTGCTACTTGATAGCGAAGTGAAAATAGCTCAGGGGAGGCTCACAGTACAAAAAGGCTCTGGTTACAATGCAGATGTTATAGCACAAAGTGATTTCCTCACTCAAGGAGATTCCAAGGGTATCTGGTGCTGAAACCCAGAAGGTCACAGTAAGGGTGCTCTCCCGACGCTGACATTAAAGCCCGTAGTTAATGCAGAGGTAGCCACATTTTGCCAGGGTTATACACGAGCTGGGAATTTAAACGTCCACCTGGACAAACCTTGGTTTAACATCTCATTCGAAGGATTAGCAGCTCTCACAATTAATTCTAATACTGGGCTCAAACACGTGGGAGGGAAAAAAAAATCTATTCCCCTGCCTTGATGAGTGCGAATGTCAACATGAATGTCAAGATGCATTTTACATATTTTAATATTAAATCGTGGATCTCCCCACATTCACTTTCGAGTGGAGCGGAGGAAAATGAGAGGCTTTGAAAGCGAAAGACAGATGCCGTGGCCGTTTTCGCAAAAATAAATCCTTTTGTTCCGAAACAGGCTTGTTCCATAGATGCAGCTTAACGCCAGTGGGTTTAGGTGAAAGGACGACTTTTGTACCACCACACCTCACGTCTGAGATCAGCAGGACACACAATGCAAAACACTTCAGCCGGGAAAACCTCAGTCTTCCAGGTCTGTTGATAATAAGCTTGAGAAGAAAGCGACAAAATAATAAACTGCTCTGTCACCTTCTCCCTGCAGTCAAACAATGGTACCCGAATTCCGATAGGGAAAATATTAATCCTGAAGGCTTCTGGTCATTAGCTAGTTAACCGTCTAGACTCATTACTAATACTCCTTCCAGCTTCTGTCAGAATTCAGAAGAACCGCCGCAATTAGCACCGGTTAAACAACAAAACATCGCAGTAACCTTTCAGATTTCCAGGCCCACTGCTGACAGTGGTGGGTGGTTTAAACAGGGATTTTTTTTTTGTATTAGTGCATTAGCAATCCAATCCCGTCAAGAAATTAAACGCAATCACTCATGAATCTGAAATCTGGAGATCTGAACAGTTGCATCTTCCTCCAAGGAGCCTTGTGCACTTCTGCACATTTCTTAACCATTTCAGCTGTGTGTGTATATATATATACACACACATATATATATATATATACACATATATATATACATATATAACAAAGGCTGCACTTTACGCTGCAAACATCATACGTCGGATCTGATAGTTTATTTTCCCACCTTCTCGTGCTCTTTTGATCCAGTAAACCGCATAATCCGTATCAAGTAAAATCAGGAATACCTCCTGAAGAATACAACAAGCTCTTGGCGACACACACACACACACACATGCGCGCACACAAACACACACACACACACACACACACGCACACAGACTCCCCTTCCCACTGCTCAGTTGAGAAAACAGAAAGGACAGATGAGGTTTTTTTTCTTCTTAACCCAAGATCTGATTCTGTCTACTAAACGCCATGTCATCTCACTGGAGTGTAATCTTATTCTGATGGGGGGAGGGGGTGGTGGGGGGGGTCTCCAGACTCCACAGGCGGGTCCGTAGGTTCTAAGAATCAGTAATCAAGACACTCAGCAGACTGAATCAGGTCACAAACACAAAACACAAAGGGTCAACGAGAGAATTATGAGGGTGTATCTTTTTGAGGGTGAAACAGGATAATTACGAGGCTGAAAGAATTCATTCTAAGATGGAGGAAAGCAGTGTCTGAATTTTGTGTGTGGGAGGGTCTAAAATTCAGGATTTCTAACACGGTTTCTTAAAACAGAATTTGGTTGCAAATCCCACCGATTCGAGTTTTTTTTTTGGCCAGGCTTTAAAAATTGTTTTTTTTAGACACACACACACACACACAGGAAATACCATACCAACTAATAATACTTTCATTTGATATAGCGCCTTATCGTGTCTCAAGGCGCTTCACAGAATATGCCGCAAACTGTGGTTGTCTTTTGTGGACGAAAGGAGGCAGCCAATTGCGCACGGCAGTGTCCCACAAACTTAATATATAGATATATATTTATAATAATAAAACAAATATAAAGGGTTAGTGTTATTGCCACCATCATTCTTATTCTGTGCAAGGTGAGAATTTCTCTGCTCAGCCATCCCCATCCCCCTCAACACACACAAAGCAACAGCCACTGAGAGCTCCAGCCCTTGAGCTAGATTTATCCTCACGTCAGCAATCTGCTGGAAGAATCCCAGAGCCATTCCACAAACCCCCCTCTCCCACCTCCAGGTCCCAAACAACAGCTGCTGTAATGCTGCTCGACATATATGCCATATATTCAGAATCTGCAGTCAATAAAGAATTATAATTTGAAGCAACCAGGATTAACAACCACTCACCACTACTGTAAACTCTGACACTTTGGCAGAAACAATACGTGAGAACGGGAGCTCACAGAACCATCAGTCACAGACGAACACAATATACATGGTCTATCGACAGTGGCAGCAGTCATTCATTCTCTGGTACAGCGAACAGATAAATCTTCCCCGCAACTGGTTATGACAAGATAAGGCTCCTGGTTTGAAAAAGAAGCTCTTTCATCAATCCAGCATATCAATAGGAAAGCTATTAATGTGCTAAATTCAGGGCATGTTTAACATGCCTGGCGGGTTCAGCGATGACACCAATTGGGTCACGTATCTAACGGATTTATTATAACTTCGCTTTTGATGAAAATTAACATCACATTTAAAATCAACATTGGTGCTGCACCTTTAGTAGTGACGTGTTGTGAAAGAATATGCGACCATCAAACGCACAGTTAAGCCTACAAATAACACTACTACCGCACTTTTACGGACAAAGATTCTATGCATTCGAAGGTGATGTGAGGGGTGGCAGCTCATAATGTAGTATAAACACCAGCCTGGACTAGTTGGGCCGAATGTCGTGCTCTACGCGAGTTGCCCCTCTCCCGTGACTTGGGACGTCAAAACGATTGGAAGAAGGGAGTATGAAAAAAATAAATTAAAATTGGTATTTCCTAGGTCGTGCACGTCATTTTGAATGCTTTTCTCGCTTTCCTTCCTCTCCAGGTGCTCAGACAGGAAACCAGTCCCACGTTTCAATGTGGTGGCTGCACAGCTGTGGAAACGAAGCTGGCGGCTGACCTAATTGAAAAGACATGTTAATCTACGGAACTCAAATGAAGTCGAGCAGAGAGAAAAAAAAATTCTGCTGCCTGCATAGGAATCCCCCCGTTCTGTCTCCTGGCAACAGGACTGCGAGAACGTGACCTTGCTTTCAGCTCACTATCTATTTTCCATAAATCTGACGTGACCGCGAGTGTGCACGAGGAGGATTTGGCTCACGACTACGCCACCTGAGCCCAGGGAGGTAAGGATACATTCCGAGAATCACAGCTTCAAGGCATTTTATAGGCAAGGATTCGCGAGTCATTTCTCGGGCTGTGTCCATCAACCTGAGGGGAACAAGAAAAGAACAAAAAAAACATTATCAGCTAAAAGACAAAACGTACACTGGAAACGTGCAACAGAGAGAGGTGGCAAACACAGAGAGCCATGGGCGTAACTCGCTTCACTTTGGGTTTTTTTTTTTCTCGCCGCAAGAAATCACCTCGTCGTCGTGCTTGCGAACAACATACACCTCTGTTCAAAGGTGTGGGAAGCAACATCGCATCAAAGACAAGTCCTACCACCATAAATTTTCTGAAAGTCCCAAATTGAAACTTTTTTTGATAAAAACTTAGATTTGAAGGGCGGCGAACAAGGCCGTGTTTGTTAGAGGGCTCGACTTCACCAGATTACCATCCGCTAGCGCCCAGCGTTATGTTCACATCTGGGCCCGGTCATGTGGATGCAATCACTCAGGGAAACGGATCCCAAGTTTTCAAGCCATCGACCCAAAATAACAGGAAGCCACTGTCGAGCATGTCAGGAGTCTTGGATTTATAACGTAGACATGCTGTGGAAAAGCCCTTTGGTCTTGTCAAGTAAAGGGCTTGTGATATTCCAGTCTTCTAAGTTCACCCCCACTCCCAGTCTTATTCACACATGATTGAAACGCTCAATTTGCAAACGTGCACAGAACGAGTTTTTTTTTTAATGAATATTAATATTAATCCCAGTTGCAAAATGAAAAAAAAAATCATTTTGGAAATTAGAAATGTTATCGGCATTACTCATCATAAAATATGTCTACCCGGCTCTGACTGGAGTTTTATCACGATTAAAATTGATCACTGGGAAGTGTTCTTTAATTGCCCTCGGCTTGTTGCTTTGCTTGTGCTCGGACCATCCAGTTAACTGACACGCGATGGTGAATATCAAATACTCCAGCTGGCCTCTTGAAACGTCTTGTATTTGATTAGGGAACCCAGGATTAAATTAAATTTGGAGTTTGTGTTGGCAAAGCACCTCGGAGAAATGCCTGCCAATTACTGATTAATTTAGTGGGGCTCTCATTCAATTACCTCTTTTAGGACATGAACTTGATTATTTGAGTGCGACTCAGATGGGTTACATCGGTCGCCGAGGTGGAAGGGCAGCAATGACAGTACCAAACAATGTACTGTTTTAAAGGAAACTGGGTCAAATGCATACGAACATCTGTGCCAATCAATAGGATTATACGCCCATCTCCAGGTCAGCAGCTGTGAACTGCAGTGAAAGAGATCCACTGTAACATGTCTGCGTTCAGCAGCTAAGCCTTTGCCTCGTTACAGTGAAGAGACTGGTCAGCACAGCGTGTAACTCTCTTACTGCCCAGAGATAGAACAAGTCATACATGTGCTTACTGACCCGACTGTACTATTTGTAGAATTACAACGTTTACACGAATAAAACAGTCGCGCAAGAGAACTTATCCAAATAATCTCGGTCTCATTTTTTGACCTAGAAAAGGATTTTTTTTTTTTACACAGTGGAAGGGTTAATAACAGGATTTCGGGGGTCGGGGAGGTGGCAGTCCTTATGGATGTCTTATCTATTGATTCACATTATTCCTACTTTCTGTTGTCTGCATATTGTTTTGTTGGGTTCAGGATTGCAACATAAATTCTACGGCATTGAAAATGGAAGACAACCACAACAACATGCATTTAAGAGCGCCCTCCACGCCAGGGGGTGTCCCAGAGCACGTCATTCAAGCGTTGTAAAGAAGCCCCTCCATTTAAGCATTTCTTTAAATTAAAAAATCCCCAAAGATTTTACATACAAAGCAACATTTTAACCAGGTTAATAGGAATAAAGATTCCTAAAAACAATGGTAGCGGGAAACATGACATTGTAAACCCACTCACTGTAGCGGAGGTAATAGGGTTGTGACTGTTCCACTCCCCCCACCTCCCCCTGCGTGTGCATATGGGACCTTTACTTCCCGCTTCACACCTTTCTTCCTGTCACTCTCCACACTGCCTCGTGCCTTGTACAACCTGTGAGAGGCAGAGCGGAGTGTAGCAGGAAGACAGCCAGAGCAGGAAGTAGGAGGCAGCTCCGAGAGTGACAAGAAGAACATAAGAAATAGGAGCAGGAGTAGGCCATTCGGCCCCTCGAGCCTGTGCCCCGCCATTTAATAAGATCAGGGTTGATCTTCTAACCTAATTCCATTTACCCGCCCTATCCCCATATCCCTTAAACCCTTTAGTTTTTAAAAATCTATCGATCTCAGTCTTGAAGGTGATGACAATAATGGCACATTACCTGCCCCCACCCCCACCTTTAGTTTTTTTTACACATTTAATCAAACATCCGGATTGGATTTGCAACAAAGGTTCCAGAGACATAAAGGAAAGTTGAATCTAAAGGGAAGTTGAACCTGGATTTAATTTTTGCAGACATTTTTAAACGCGTCTTGCATTTATTACATTATTTGATGTGAACTAACTTCAGCACTTAAGCAAAAAATGCAGATAAAGTGACTCCAAAAGAAGCTAGTCATGAACAAAGTTCATCGTGACCATGGCAATGCATCCTGAAAACTTGGTTCAAGTCTGTTTTGTTTGCAGGAAATAAGTCCCTGTTGAACAGTAAAATCAGCCTCCACGGACTAGTGAAGTCCAACGGGTCAACACCAAAATAGAGTCACTACACTTTACGGTAAATACAACAACAACATTTCATTTATAGAGCGCCTTTCACATCGGGAGGACGTCCCAAGGTGCTGGACAGTTGGGTCGGGACCTGAGCAAGGAGGCAAATGGTGAGGGGAGGGAAGGGAGGGAGCGAGGAGGGGGTAGAGAGTCGAGAGGGGAGCTCAAGGCATGGTCAAAGAGAAAGGTCTTGAGACCATGAAGAGCTTAGAGGCATCTTCCTGACAATGAAAGGCACAATTTCTACACAAGTCTTTCTGTGCACAGGAGTTTCCGAATCACTGAACAGGTAGGGAATGAAAATAGCTTTGCCATCCTGTACAATGTTGGCATTCCAATTTCTAAAACAGCACCAGGTAAGATGACTGCAGATTACGTGTGAACATTAGATGTAAAAGAGGAGTGAAAGTTCTTACTTACGAACTTAGAGGTCGGTTTTTCTTAATCTCAAAGAACTGAGTTCCAGTGTGATTGTATCTGTCATTTATCAAGCTAAGGAACGAAAATGGAATGGGACGCACATGAACAGGATCACAACAACATCAGGGGCGAAATTCAAAGAAACAACACGAAAGATTACTCAGGCCTTTTTTTTTAAAAAAAAAGCAATCATTCATCAAATGCTGGCACTTCCTATGCAGCTTCCGAAAGTGAAGTCAGGTCCACATTTTTGTTTATACTTCAAGGTTAAGGCAAAGAATAGTACTTTTTGAAACTTGGATATTGAAGGCCAACCCCCTCCTGATCTGGGTGGGGAAAGCGGCAATGACTCTCCAGTATTAATACATTTACAGACTGTGACAGGCGTGAACATGGTAATCTGTACTGATCTATACTGGTCATAGTTACACTACTTACACAGAGATCTGTCCTGGTCTGTTTACAGACTCTACATTGTGAGTTCGTCACAGCAATTGCAGAAAACCAGCTTCAAAATAAAAAAATAGCTCAGGGTTTGCACGCTCTAAAACACCAAGAAAAAAAAAAAGAGTCCAAGTAGAGAACTGGTCTCACCAGGTGGATAAACCATATAAACACTCCATGAGCATTCAGCTCAAACCTCCAGCTCCTCACTGCAGTGGCTTCCAGCACCACTCTCGTCTTAGCGGCCAAAACACGGTCTTAAATGTGTCACGGTTAAAACAAAGCCGCAGCTGCCATATTTCAATGGCGTTTATTTTAAAATCTTTTGTTCATTCACAATTCTGAACGCTGAGCAATTGGCAAATTCACAGCAAATGCTGAGAGAACAACATCGCTCCACTAATGAGATGACAGGCAGAGCTGGCAACACTCAGTTTGATGACTACCACTGAATTTGTTTCTAACCGAGTCCATTGTTCATAGTGGTCTGAAGGTGACGTCCGAAGACGTGCCTCATTTTTTTTCTCAGTTTCAGATGAATTTATTCAATCTCCGGCTGCTATTAATTAGACAGATCTTGCTCTTGCTTCCCAGTGGCAGCAGAAACGAGGGTGATTTTTTAAAAAAAAGAATCAGATTCCAATCTCTGACAGACCATGACTATATAAAGCTGATACCACTATACTTGCCGAGCTGTCAAGAACACAACAGCTCCTTTCTGCGCTCAGTAAAAAGACATCGCAGCAACGTGTAATCTTATTAAGGTTCATTGCGAGCAAGTGCCAAGATAAAAGGCACTAAAGACAGAGTATGTAATGTGCGTCAGCTGTTGTGTGGGTTGACTGTTTGGTTTTAAACAAATGCAGTTGAATGAGAGATTGCCATTGAAACCGAAGAAAAAAAAGCACATAATTGCATTTGTTGGAAGCGGTGAGAATGAGTGAAGATTCTTTCTTTAAGGGCTTTCTTTACCAATTGGACTGAACAATCTCCTTCTGCTGTGTAGCAGACTGCAGAGGGACCTCTGTAAGTATGTTAGCTATCAATCCAACAGAAGCATTCAGAGCCAACTGGAATTCACCATTTATTTTTCCTCGATAGAGTTGGGGGGAAAACCCACACAAATCACAGCGTGTAGAGATTTTTTTTCTGAATAATAAAAAAAAAGGATCAATTTTATATCAAACAAAAATATTGTGCCGAAAGGAAAAGCAACGTGGAATCAGGGTGCTTCTCGTGGATAGGTTGTGATAGGTGTTGGGATTTAGAAAGAAAGCTGCCAATCGAAATGTAATCTTGGAATACTTGCGCATCACTGAATACATTTTTTAACGGTACAAAACGCATACAGATGGATGGTTTACTACTGAATAATAATCATTCCAGCTACCAACTGTACCGGCAGCATCACCATCCAAGGATGCACACTCCACCTCACTGAGCCAGTCCAGAACCTTGGGGTCTTGTATGACCCTCAACTGTCCTTTCTACCCCACATCCGTGCCATGACCCACTCACTTTGCTTTCCCTCACCTCCCTCACATCGCCATCCCAACTCTTCTCTCCTCAAGCTGCAGATCATCCAGAACTCTGCAGCTCATGTTCTCTGCCACACCAGACTCCGTGACCCCATCACCTCCACCCTCGCCCGGCTCCACACACTCACCATCCCCCAGAGGATAAGAGTTCAAAATCCTCATTCTTGCCTTCAAAGTGCTCCTTCCTATCTTTGGAACTCAATCCCAGTCTCTTCATCTTGCTCCCTCCCTTGTCTCCTTCAAGACCTTCCTCTTCGACCGTGCCTCCTACCCCTTAGTCCTCCACCCCTCCAAATCCCTGACGGTTCAGCACCTTGGGACGTCTTCCCGACGTGAAATGCGCTGTACACATGTCGTTGCTATAAGGGATAGATCTGTGTGTCATCTCACTTCCGTATTGTAAGATAATGCTCATTCGCACTGAACTTTGCCAATTGTTAAGGCACTGAGCGGGTTGAGTAGGGGAATCCTACCTCAGAAGAAGTGGGAATGATTGTACAGTGTTCCAGCAAGAACACTGACGCCCACAACTGTTCTCTTTTCCGTAACCGGCTGAAGGAAGGTGGTAAGTGAGGTTGTTTTACGGACTAACTAAATAGGTAACGAAAGTAGCAATTTTTTTGTGAAAACAAATATTCAGTGGGAGCTTGTTGATAGAAACACCAAAGTGCTTCCTTGCCTATTTATGCATAAAATAAACCATTATGTCAGTGGGTGTTTTGATAGTGGAATATTCATTAAATAGTGTGCAATAAAACAGGTTCCCATAACGCAGTGAAGACAAAGTAGTAATTCATTCATGTTTTGCTTCTAACCTACAGAAACGAGTACATGAGAATGCAGCAAATTCACGAGCTGCTGCACATTGAGAGGACTGATGTTTTACGCACAGTAATGGATGGTCAAGTGCCAATCACAGACCTATCTATACCTGCGTTACTGTTAATTTTAGAAAAGCACTCTGCCAGACACACACAAACTCCCCAATGTCAATCTCATTAGTCACATCAATCGTTGTATAACTTCCCATTGCCCATTCTCTGATAGTAATTTTTTTAAGTAATTGGCAATGTTTATGGGACCCTTCATTAATAAAGAGCCATCATAATATTTACCATATTTTAGACTCTACACAATCATATTACACTTATTATCACCCACAAACAATGTTCAGCATTGGCTCAATTGCTACTGGTCTTCACAGACAGGAAGACGATAGACCATGGTGATAATGAAGAAGGGTTAAGGCTCATTAATATTTGCAATGATTCGTTTTACCAACTGTTATACTATGCTACACGGAGAGAAAATAAGTAAAAGAACATTATGATAGAAAACAAGATATTTATAGATGGCCCCTCCCTGGTATCATATGGTATACACTGGATACAGTAATGTAGGCACATTTTGTTTTATGATCATCACAATGTTGAGACTCCTGGGTGAAATGCATTGCCCTTATCTGCCTTGTATGTTTGCAATCATTGAAGGCATCCTTGAAAGTCTGTCTCATTGCTATTTATTACCAAGATCAACTAGATTTTCCCTCCTCAGGAACAAGTGAAAACTACAAGCATCGGGAACAAAATCTTGCCAAACAACAAAGCCATAACAAACTAATGTCAGAATAAGGTTCGAACTAAAATGGCTGTGACTAGTAACTAGAAAGGTACAACTGGATGAAAGAATGAAATCTGAGGCATTTCAAAATCGATCCGGGATTGCCTGTCACAAGATGACTTCTACGTGCCTGGCTCAGCACTCAAGGTGGAAAGGATACTGTAGGAGCCTCATGTAGTTCTGTATTGTCTGCAGCCATTCTGGAATCGACATAGACACCTTGTATTTTGGCAATGGTGGAATTGGAGGCTAAACGAACACAAAGCAGACAAATGTTAGAACTGAGATACAGCACTGGCCTTGAAATATAATAACACCAATCCTTGCATTCGATGTTGTACCTATCGGTCCGGAACATCTCCAAGCCCAGCACAAAATTTCTGTAAAGTGTAATGGCAGCATACGTGTAAGAAAACATACAAATTTCACTGTAACATCAACAGACACGTATAATTCCCTCCTTAAACATGAACGGCATGTACACTTGTAACTAACTATAGCTCCAAAGAATGAATGGTTAAATGGTTCCCAATATCATGGTTAATATTGGTGGATCTGGAAGAGAGACAGAGAGAGAAAGAGAATGAAATCCACATTAAGTTCACGTTTCCTCTAGTAGCCAACTCAGTGGAATTATTAGAGGCCTAAGAGTGGATAATTTTCCTGCTTTCTTGTCCATATTTGGTTAGGTACAGGCAGGTTACAGTAGAATATGCCTCCAGCAGGTTCACCAAAGGAGAGGTAGAGAGGAGAAAATATAATTGTTGGTGGGGTGGGGGGGAAGAGAGTGAAAATTGGGTTTATGTTTACAAGGCATTGCACTTGATCTATTCACATAATTTAAAGACAATGCTTTCATCACGCAAAGGCACAATCCCTTGTCGCATTGCATTCTAAGCATCAGGAGCAGTCATGTAGCTCAATGCTTGACTGTTCGTGCCTCGAGATCTGCCTTTGTTGTCATTCCGGTTGGTAAGGCAAAAGATTGGAAACTCATTTCCCTGAAGATACTCCATAGCAGGAGCTGAACCCAAAACAAATCATGTTCCAAACAGTCACTCAACCGAGATTTACTAACCTTTGTGCATTTTTATTTGGTTGGCAGCTTCCACCACATTAATGACCATTACAGAACCACACTGGAAGTGAGAGTTTAATGATAGCCCTGCGCACTGGTTTGAAAACACTGCTTATTTCAAAGAAAGGACAAGGGAAAGGGCACATGGCTATCAGATTGCCTTTGTCCTGAGCGTTCTTCTCTTGCTCTGCATCACTAGCAGGTTCTGAGATATGTATCAGCACACATTGCCGTTTAATCGTATGGAATTTATTCAGGAGATTATTTGTTTGTTTTTTTTAAGATGATGATGTCTAGGACTAACATATTCCTCCTTTCATCAAAGTGTTTCTCCCCTCCCGCCCCCCCCCCCCACCCCAAAACAATTCTGAAAAGGATTTGAATGAATGTGTGACCTCTAAAATATTACCACGCAAGGAAATTCCTCTCCAAGCACAAAACGCAAACAGTCTGCTGCAGCTAACTCACTCCAGGGTGTATTTATATGGAGGTACTGTATATCAACATGCTGCTGAAACCACCTTGTTCAAGGCTGCCAGAAAAACACCAGCGTAAATCACATCTCAGTAGCGTTGGCTCAAGGACGGCTTGCACTCACTTCCCTCAAAATTCCCTCAAAATACAACAACGACGACAAGAAGATTGCATCTATAGAGCGCCCTTCACGTCGGGAGGACGTCCCAAGGCGCTGCCAATACGCTTTACTCGATACCAGTTCGCTAAAGTTCAATTGCAGATGTTACACAATGGTCAGAAGAACACTTGCTCTACATTCTTCTTCTTCTTATTATTATTATAGCTCGTGTCGCTCCACAATTTTGTCAGGGTTTCTGAGTGTCGAAGGGGTTGGGAAAAGGGACAGTTTGGGGTTTTTTTTAAGAAAAAGAAACTAATTCAAGTTCACAATCCAAAATGAAGCACCATTTTATAACAATTATGAGGCGCACAATAACAACATTGAGAACATCTGATGACAACAAAATCGCACTTCTCGTCGAACAGAGTTCACACGTCACTCATTGAAAGCTCTTCACAGGGTCACCCTCAGTATGGAACGGCACAAGATCCACGAATATATATATATATTACATATATATATATATTTACTTCCACTGTGGTATTTAAAGCATTTAAAGAGTTGAGGAAGCAGATACATTCTATCAACGCGCAAGATAAACTGTAATGAACTGCAACCATAATATTGAAACAAATGTGTTTTACATCCCATACCTCTGTACAATCAGTTAAAATAGTTGTTTGAATTACTGTACAAAAATACTGCAACATTATCACAATACTTAGTTTGCTGCAAAGTATTTACATTATATACATATGTATCCAAAGGCAGTATATCCCAAGCAAAAGGGCAAAAATATTATAGTTTGTGGTGGATCTTAGTAAGAGGTTTCGGAGGAATTTCTTCCTGCAATGACAATGTAGAACTAACTCACTGCCAGAAGCTGTGGCTCAAGCAAAAAACACCAATGTATTAAGAGAAGATGTGATGCATACACGAGGGAGAATCGAAACGGGAGGTACGGGGGAGGGAATTAAAACTGGGGCTCGTGTGGAGTATATACGCAGGTGTGGACTAGCTGGGCTGACTGGCTTATTTTCTGCGCCATGTTCACTCTACGTAACTACGTGGCACGCAATGATAATCGTATATTATTTTGTAGGAAGTAACAGAAGTGGTTTGGCAAAGCAATAAAAGAACACTTTGCTCCTGAACAAATTCAGGGGCACACACACACACACACATATATATATATATAGAGAGAGATATTATAAAGAACCTCTAACTTTTATCTGTCTGGCAATTTGATGAGAGCGATTGCTAAACTTGCTGAAGTCTCCCTCGCGTTCGTATGACTTGATTGACCTCAACACTGTAACCATAACGCATATTACTTGTAGATATTTGGCTTTGGGTACTGCACTAGTCACCCTGCGTAACCTCCTGTGTCTGCCGCGTAGTGAGTGAGTTGTTCATTGCATCTGGGCCATCAACTTTCAGTTTTGAAATGTACAAATACAATGATTTGTGCTTTGTCTGACCTGGTTAGTTAGTCCCCTTGGCTTTTACTTAGCTTTTTGAACCTCCAAATCATTTTCTCTGCAGACCGCCACTTTCTTATTAAACGAACACCCGCAGAATTAAAATGCCTCAGATACTAAACCCAAATTCAATTCGCTCGTATAAAAATCCATAGAAAAGGGAGACGGTAGGAAGGCCGGGGACCAATACAATAAAGATAAAGAAAACTAGGACTATCCAGTTCAGACGAAAGCACCATCACACAGAGGATACAGTTCATGATCCTGGTTCTTGCCTTCAAAGCCCTCCATGGTCTTGCTCCCCCCTACCTCAGTGACCTCCTAACCTCCTACCATCCTGTCTGCTCCCTCTGTTCAGCGGGCTCCGGCCTGCTTCATGGACCCGCCTCGCTTGCCCCACCATTGGCGGTCAGGCCTTCTGGCAATCTTGCCCCCACCGTCTGGAACTCCATCCCGCAGTCCCTCCGCCTTGTCCCCTTCCTTGCCTCCTTCAAGACCCCCCTCTTTGACCGTGCCTTCGTCATCATCCTACCCACCCATCCCACCCCCAACTGCCAGCTCGAGTGCGGATCCCTGACTGTCCAGCGCCTTGGGAAGTGGTCCTGATGTGAAAGGCGCTGCACACACGTAATGTGTGGGTTGTGGGGATTCCTGACACTGTACTGGACAAATCCTCCACACTTGTGGTGAGTGAAATGGGTGGCCCCTCAGCTACGTGTGGCTATGGCACGTTTAGTGACACTTGGAAATGCAGAATTATTTCTGAAGTCAAAGTGGATGAACACACCGCGTCGATGAGGACCATTCGCCACAACAACAGGCGTCCTTGGTCTCGGATCGGCAATCATTTTAACTTCCTAATGTCAAGGCCAAGTTGACTAACTGGGGGACATAAAACAATGAAGCTCTTTCCCGAGGGATGGATTGCAATGGGACTAAGCTAACTGAGACCTTACAGAAGGATCGACAGACACAACCACACTCGGGCTTTCTTGCTTCTACCGTAAGTATCAATCGGATAGAAATTAAATGAGAACGTTCTCACAATGATGAATGATAATAATAATAATAATCCTTGCATTTGACACAGCGCCTTATCGTGTCTTCTGGACGCCTCAAAGGGCTTCGCAGAATATACCGTAGCGTGAATTTAGGGGTGAAACGCTCAACGAGTTAACGGCACATGTTTTAATAACCTTATTTATCAATCCCCTAATAATAATAATAATAATAATAAGAGGCACTACATTTTAGCACTACCATTACTATATTAGCACTACCATTACTATATTAGCACTACCATTACTATATTAGCACTACCATTACTATATTAGCACTACCATTACTATATTAGCACTACCATTACTATATTAGCACTACCATTACTATATTAGCACTACCATTACTATATTAGCACTACCATTACTCCATCAGTACTATCATTAAAAAAGAAATGTGACCCTTTCTCTTTTTTTTAAAGAAAAAAAATCGAGAACCGCCCCGAACAACAACAACAACAACGACCACCACCACCACAGGGAAGGCAGAGGTCCCGGTCCCGGTCCCGGTGCGGTGGTGGGGGTTGGACCGACTTACTCGGGGTATTAACGGGCCGTTCCGGATGGTGTCCTCCAGTCGCCGCCCCTCGGGCTGGAGCTGCTCCACATGAGCCCACATCCTCCGCCAAGTCCGCTCGTCCATCGGGAGACCGCTCCTGTTCACGTAGAAGAGGACCCGCCCGTCCCTCGCCCTCTCCCTCTCCTCCTCCTCCTCCTCCCCGGGCGGGTGGCCGGAGCCCCCCGGGGCCGGGGCCGGGGCCGGGGGTGGGGGTGGGGCGGCCCGGGACCTGCTGACCTGCCTGTTGGCCGCGTCCCCCCCGGGGGGGCTGCCCCGCGCGCCCGTCATCCCCCCTCTGTCGCCCCTTTCCGCCGCAAAGGCAAACCGCACCGACACCCAACAGCCCCCCACCCAACAACACCCACCCAACACCCACCCAACAACACCCACCCAACACCCACCCAACAATACCCACCCACTCACCCAATACCCACCCAACCAACACCCAACAGCCCCCCACCCAACAACACCCACCCAACAATACCCACCCACTCAATACCCACCCAACCAACACCCAACAGCCCCCCCACCCAACAGCCCAACACCCACCCAACAATACCCACCCACTCACCCAATACCCACCCAACCAACACCCAACACCACCCACCGACACCCCCCCCCCAGGCTTTCCCTACCATACGAAATAACCCCCCAATCGAATCTCTTTCAACCACCACTACCACCACTGCGCTTTGGATAAATCCCCCCACCCCCAACCCCCTGTTACTCTGGCTTCACCATGGCTGTTACAGCCCTCTGTAATAGCTCACCCCCCCCCTCAGCCCCCTGTAATAGCTCACACCCCCCCCCCTCAGCCCCCTGTAATAGCTCACCCCCCCCCCCTCAGCCCTCTGTAATAGCTCACACCCCCCCAGCCCCCTGTAATAGCTCACCCCCCCCCCCTCAGCCCTCTGTAATAGCTCACCCCCCCCCCCCTCAGCCCTCTGTAATAGCTCACCCCCCCCCTCAGCCCTCTGTAATAGCTCACCCCCCCCCCCTCAGCCCCCTATAATAGCTCACCCCCCAGCCCCCTGTAATAGCTCACCCCCCCCCCTCAGCCCCCTGTAATAGCTCACACACACCCCCCCTCAGCCCTCTGTAATAGCTCACCCCCCCCCCAGCCCCCTATAATAGCTCACACCCCCCCTCAGCCCCCTGTATAGCTCACCCCCCCCCGCCCCCTGTAATAGCTGACCCCCCCCGCCCCCTGTAATAGCTGACCCCCCCAGCCCCCTGTAATAGCTCACCCCCCCCCCCAGCCCCTGTAATAGCTCACCCCCCCCCCAAGCCCCCTGTAATAGCTCACCCCCCCCCTCCCTCCCACCCCCACTGCCTTTTTTTTCACATTCCTGCCCCCAACACACATATATCTATAGAGATGGCCACAAACACACATACAGTGTATAGAGACTGTGACCTCCTCAGCCTTCCATCTCCTCTCTTGTCCTGGTGTGTGTGTGTGTGTCCAAACCCTCTTGTGTTACCTCTCTCTCTATCTCTCTCTCCCTCCCTCTGTCTCTCCCTCCCTCTACCTCTCTCTCTATCTCTCTCTCCCTCCCTCCCTCCCTCTATCTCTCCCTCTGCTATAAGCTTTGACCGTGTTACTCAGTTACCCCAACGACACAGATGCCGAGTTGACTCTCGTGCACATTGGCTGGTGGTGCCCTCTGGAGCTTCCTCAGGGGGTGGGTGGGTTGGGTGGGGGGAGTTGGGTGGGGGCAGTTGGTGCTGGTGGTGGTGTTGTGGGGGGGGGAGTGGGGAGGAGGCTGTGGATGGCTGGTGGGGTGGGTTGGTGATGGGTGGGGAGGGGGGACCGTGACCTCTCATTGGTCCACTGTATCGAATGAGGCGGCAGTAGCCGTGTTCAGTGGCTTCCTATTGGTCCCAGGGCTCAAACGGGGGCGGAGCCAGTCGGACAGAAATGGATACAAATGTCGTCTGGCCACGCCCCCTCATTGTGACTTCAGGGCGCACAGTCACTTGTTCCTCGCTGCCGCCCCCTGGTGGTCTATACACACAGATACACACAGAGAGAGATAATGTATCTGTACATATATAGAGATATGTGTGTGTATATATAATGTATGTGTAGATATATAATGTATGTGTATAGATATATAATGTATGTGTATAGATATATAATGTATGTGTATATATAGATATATAATAATAATAATAATCCTCGCATTTGATATAGCGCTTTTCACGTCGGGAGGACGTCCCAAAGCGCTTCACAGAACACACTGTAAAGCGAATTGACTGTATATTTGTGGGCGAACGCGGCAGCCAATTGCGCACAGCAATGTCCCACAAACAGTCGTGGATTGAAAATGACCAATTTATTACTGTTTTTGGTTTTGGAGGGATTATTATTAGGCTCTGTGTGGAGTAAGGAAACTTGCCCAAGGTTTCGCCCTCTGCCTGGAATTGAACTCAGGTCTCTCGCTTGCAAAGCGAGTGCTCTAACCACTGAGCTACAGGACTCCACGTATACAACAAGATTTCATTCATAGAGCGCCTTTCATGTCTGGAGGACGTCCCAAGGCGCTGGACAGTTGGATTGGGACCCGAGCAGGGGGGAAATGGTCAGGGTGAAGGGAGGCAGCGATACATAATGTATGTGTATAGATATATAATATATGTGTATATATGTATGAAAAATAAAGTCAATAGACTAGAAACTACTCCTGTTAAAATCTATGTACAAGCATATTTTGTATGGGTGGGTTGTGTGTGTGTGTGTGTGGTGGGGGGAGGGGTGGTATGATAAACTCTTTCACAAACACGTAAACCAATAGTTGCGAAGGTTCGTGGACCCGAAACGTCGACGCTCGCTTTCCTTTCTCCGTAGATGCCGCCTGACCTGCTGTGTTCCCCCGGCCACTTCTGTGTTTTGGTTTCAGATTTCCAGCCTCTGCGGTAATACTTTGCGTTTTGTTCACACGTCAAACAGTAGCTTTGCTCGTTGCAGGAGTAGCACTTCCCTCTCCTCTGCATGGTGCGCAGAATCGAGCTCGCAATTGCTCTGCAACTTAAAAGACAATGCAGACAAGACAAGGCCAGGCTGCGCCTGAATTGCTCTGTCTCTCGGCGAGGCTGCCTTGCGTGCATTGTACTCCGTAGGAGAGACCGAGAGAGATGCGAGCACCTTGCAGAGAAGCGAGCTGCCGGAAAACCAGGGGTTTTGTTGATCCGCCCAAAAAAGGCGTATCTGATCAAGATTTAAGGTGTGTGTGGAATTACGAAAGGGCAACCATTTCAGACAAAAAAAAATACGTATAAAACCCTTAAGGTAACAAAAGAAATCGCTTATCAGTGCATTGGAGACGACTCACAGCCAAACACGAAGGATAAACGAGTCTAAGCAGAAGAGGAAGGTCACACAATCGTGGCAAGGCCATCCACTTAGGGAAATGCAGCAGTACAGTATGGGGTTCCATGCGGAGGACAAAATAATTTCAACCGTGATCCCGAGAGTCAATATTGATAATGTTGTAAAGCCAACTCTGGGTGGGTTTAGAAATCACATTCGACGTAACCATTAATAAAATTGCGAAACACCGATGAAGGAATAAGGCACAATGTGCAGGACACTACAGACACCGAAGAATAGAAAGATAGATAGATGGATAAAGTTTAGTGACTAGACTGCTAACATTGGACTGTGCTGCAAAATACAAGGGAAGAGTGAGGGAGGTAGAAGTTCCGATCTTAGAGTACCGAAAAACTCATCATCCCATCTCTTCCATTAACCTGTCCTAGAAAGAATAATTTCTTCAGAGTATGGAGGAGGGAAAGAAGATAGAATGAGCAGCACAGCTATTTGAAACTTGGTAGAAATGAGTGAAAAGTTCACAAGAGCAACAACCAATTAAATTGATCAAAGTAGGACAATAACATTTGTGGTGGGATCAGAGATGTTGGACAAGTGAAAGATCACACCAATATTTTGATAACCTTTTACAGTTAAGCATTGTTCAGGTGAAATGCCTTAAAGGGAAAACTGATTTCTCGGAGGCTCATTACAAATGGGATTCCATTTGAGATCAGAGGAGATAGTGAGACCAAGAACAACATTAAATGAAGAACTAAGAGATGTATTGAAAACTTTAATGATGTATTGAAAACTTTAATGAAGCTGAGCAGTGATACGCAGATTGAAAGGAAACATTTGCTGCTATTCGATCAGCCTTCTCACTTCTGATGCTATGGTTTCCCAAACTCACACTTTGGCTCCAAATTAATATTTCACAATAGAGTGCACATAAGATACTGGACTTCATTTGTATTTTTTGTTTTATTTTAAATGTTCAAGAAAACCAACAAATGCTGATTACATATTAAGGAACAATTACATATACAGCTCCAAGAACCAGACATCATAGTTGTGATTCACAGTTCATATTGTGCCAACACTTTGGTAAAGGGCTATGAATAATAATCATCCTTGCACTTCGAGATTTTCTGTGACCGTATTTGTCGGCAAACACAACAGCCAATTTGTGCGCAGTAATAGCACAACAACCAGCATGAAGTGAACGTCCAATTAACTTAGTTCTTCTAAGTGTTGAAGCGGCTAATCTAATATCCACCATGGAGTAAAAATAGCCGCAGATTAAAGATTAGTGGAAAGGGATAAGTGCAACACGTTGTTCAGGAGGGACTTGTCTCATCAAGGTTATCACAATGAAAATCGTGGGTCTACCCAACCTCTACAGGCAACTCATTTCAATTGACTGACCTACTGGGTCATACAACATTGTAATCGCAGCCACTAAACATTATTAGTCTGAGCATGAACACCAACTACTCCAACCAGTAAATAGTCGCACCAAATTAGGGCTATTTTGATATAATGAAAAGATATCAGAGCGCAATCTCAATGTTTTATTCAACATCATCTCTCCTCAAGTCTTTCACCCAGCTCTTGACCAAGTCCTATTTTGTCTATATCAATAGTGCCTGCCTTCATCTCTACCTCACCCCTAATAGAGATGAAATACTCATCCAGTCCGTCTTCTCCTCCAGACTTTATTTCTGTAATGCTCTCCTTGCTATCTTTACTGGATTAATCCTCTATAAAATCCAGATTATCCTGAACTTCACATCCCTTAATCTTTCCTGTACTAGCTCCAAAAGGCAAACAGCCCATCCTCA